AGATAAACCCGGAGAAGACGCAGGCTATCATCAACATGGAGCCGCCCCGCAACGTCAAGGAGGTACAGCGACTGACGGGGCGCCTGGCGGCCTTAAACCGGTTCCTCTCCAGGTCAGCCGAGAGGGCACTCCCCTTCTTTCAGATCATGCGAAAGGCCAACAGCTTCAAGTGGACGACGGAGTGCCAGGAAGCATTCGACGAATTGAAAAGGTACTTGTCGTCCCCGCCCGTGCTCTCCAAGCCCAGAGCCGGCGAAACCCTCTTCTTGTACTTAGGGGTGAGCACGTCGGCCGTCAGCTCCGTGCTCATCCGTGAGGACGAAGGGGTGCAGAAGGCCATCTTCTACATCAGCAAGACACTCAGGGAGGCCGAGCTCAGGTACTCCCCCATTGAGAAGACGGTGCTGGCCATTGTCCACACCGTGAAGAAGCTGGGGCACTATTTCCAAGCCCACACCGTCCATGTGCTGACCCAGCAGCCTCTTGGAGCGCTCATGAGGAGCCCCACTAGCTCCTCGAGGATGGTGAAATGGGCGATCTTCCTCAGCCAGTTTCAGATTGAGATCAAGCCAAGGCCATCTATCAAAGGGCAAGCCTTGGCCGACTTCGTCATTGAATGCACAGCAAGGGAGACGGCCGTCGCCAACTCCGAGCCGGAGACGGACGATACGTGGACCCTGTTCACTGACGGCTCGTCGGCCGCGAAATCATGCGGCGGCGGCGGCGGCCTCATATCCCCTGAAGGATTCAGAGCTTACTACGCCATCCGCTTCAACTTCAGGGTATCCAACAACGAGGCCGAGTATGAGGCCCTCCTCAGCGGTCTCAGACTCGCCGCCGGCCTCAAGGCCAAACACCTCAAAATCAAGTGCGACTCCAAACTGGTAGTGGGCCAGGTGGAGGGATCATACGAAGCCAAGGAAGGCCGGATGAAGCAGTACAAACAAGCGGCGGAGGAATTGCTGAAAGCGTTTGAAACCCATGAGATCACTCAGATCCCAAGGGCCGAGAACGCCGAAGCCGACATCCTCTCCAAGCTCAGCTCGGACACCCCGGAGCACATCTCCCAGTTGGCCAAGATCGAGGAGTTGAGCATGTCCAGCATCCACGCCAGCCCCGTCTTGTGCGTCCAACAGCGACCAGAGGACTGGATCTCCGACATCGCCGCCTTCATCACAACGGGGGAGCTGCCCCCGGACGAGGAGAGGGCCAAACTTGCCAAACTCAGGGCCCCAAGCTACACCATCGAAGATGGCAAACTCTACAAACGGTCCTATAATGGCACCCTCCTCTGGTGCCTCCACCAGGACGAGGCCGACACAGCCATGGAAGATGTTCATTGTGGCGTCTGCTCCTCACACCAGGGCCCTTTCAGCATGTCCCGGCGTCTCGTCGTCCAGGGCTTCTTCTGGCCGACGATGGCACGCGACTGCGCCGACCTGGCCAGGAAGTGCACCACATGCCAGGTGCTCCAGAAGGCCCCTGGTCGGCCAGCTGTCAACTACGCCCCTGTCAACACCGCAATTCCATTCTCCAGATGGGGGATTGACCTGGTCGGCCCCCTGCCCAGAGCCGCCGGGAATAACCGCTACATCATCGTCGCCGTCGACTACTTCACCAAGTGGGTCGAGGCGGAACCCTTGGCCAGCATCACGGGGGCCAGATGCCAAAAATTTGTTTACAAGAACATCATCACACGCTTTGGCGTCCCCCAGGAGATCATATCAGACAACGGCACCCAATTCGAGGCAGCCCCTTTCCAGGAGCTCCTCCGAGAGTTTGGGGTAAGGCATCGTTTCTCCTCCGTTGCCTACCCTCAGGGCAATGGGCAGGTCGAGAACGCCAACAGAACAATCATGGAGGGGCTGAAGAAGAAACTCCAGGCCGCAGGAGGTAGTTGGGTCGACGAGCTCCCCAACATCCTGTGGTGCTACAGAACCACGCCGAGGAGGGCGACAGGTGAAACGCCTTTCGCCCTGTGCTACGGCTTTGAAGCAAAGGCGCCCACGGAAGTTGCCATCCCCAGCCGACGGGTGGAACAATATGAGCCTGAAACCAACGAAGAGAACATGAAGATTGACCTACACCTGGTTGACGAGAGGCGTGAGCAAGCTTACGTCCGAGCGGAGAACTACCGGCGTCAAGTAAAATCATACTACGACGCCAAGGTACGTTCCCGGGAATTCCAGGTGGGGGACTACGTCCTCCGCCGGAGGGAAGCAAGCCAGCCGACAGAGGGTGGCAAGCTAGCATTGAAGTACGAAGGGCCCTACATCGTCAGTGCCGTGGTCAAATGTAACACCCCGGCCCCGTAGGCCCTGAGGTAGTTACTCCAGACCTCTAGTACTGTCCTCACAAACCGCCACTAGCCTTTTCCGCGCACTTTGTCCTCACTCGTGCGCGCCCTGAGAAACTTCCCAGGGGGTCACCCATCCCAAGACTACTCCCGTGCAAGCACGCTTAACTTTGGAGTTCTTGGGTGATGAGCTCCCTTAAAAGGAGATGCACCTCTGTTGGTATGAGTAGTACTATTAATCCGTTTAAATTAAATCTCAAGTGTTACAATCACCCCCACTTAGGAACGCAACGTCCTCGTTGCGCCCATCAACCAATCTCAATCAAATCCCAGAATCTTTTCCCCCGCTAAGTGCTTGCCTGATATCCAACGGATCAGCACACTGTCGCAGGGTTGCTCTGATACCACCTGTAACACCCCGGCCCCGTAGGCCCTGAGGTAGTTACTCCAGACCTCTAGTACTGTCCTCACAAACCGCCACTAGCCTTTTCCGCGCACTTTGTCCTCACTCGTGCGCGCCCTGAGAAACTTCCCAGGGGGTCACCCATCCCAAGACTACTCCCGTGCAAGCACGCTTAACTTTGGAGTTCTTGGGTGATGAGCTCCCTTAAAAGGAGATGCACCTCTGTTGGTATGAGTAGTACTATTAATCCGTTTAAATTAAATCTCAAGTGTTACATCAAACCCGGCACCTACAAGCTTAGACGCCCGAATGGGTCCAATGTACCACGAACATGGAATGTACACCATTTGGTGAAGTTTTATCAGTAATCCGAAGGAGGTGTAGACGGCGAAGCCCTCACCCCTTAACGGGTTACTGATTGAACGCCACCCTCGGCCTCGAGCCACTTATGAATAAAATCATGTTCTGATTTTTTCTCTGGAAATTCAAAGTAAAACATTAGCAGGTGCCCTCGTCGGCCACCTTAGAGCGAAAGGCTCAGGTCTGGCCGACATGGCCCCTTGCATTTGCAGCCTACGAGCGACAAGCTCAGGCACTCCATTGTATTTTGTATCAGCGAAGGGCTCAGACCTAGCTGAGAGAGCACATCGTCCTGGCCCCTTAAGCCTAAAAGTGAAACACTCAGGTATGGCCGACGATGTCCCCAGGACGAGGGGCCCGCAAATGGCCCACGTCTTGAAATGGGAAGCTCACCGCGTCGTCCACGCGCCAGAACGCAGGACGACAGGCCTGAAATCATGGCCGAGGTGACAAAATCCCAAAACTCAGGGATGGGCAACGACAGCCGTTGGAAACCGACCAAAAGTCTAGCCCGCGTCATAAATAGGCGACGGGACCCGCCCTGAGACCACGGACGTTATAAACGAAGTCCGAACCGGCCGAAGGACGAGCACACCCTTCGGCCGAAGCCTGAAAGAAGGATGCCCCCCGAAATGAAAAAAAATATATATATATATACAAGGGAAAAAGAGGGAAGCCGACGGCCGCGCACACTTGCCGGCCTCGAGCAATGAAAAAATAAAATCCCCACAACTCAGGCCCAACTAGGCCAAGTACATATCAGTTGAACACAAGTGTAGTAACACTGACAGGCAACATGGACGACACGTCCACACACTACAAGGGAATAATCAAGGCCGAAACACACGCCTACAAAACCCTAACCGCATCGGTTGGGTGACACGCGAGAGGTGACCTTCATCGGCCATAGTCCTTTGAGGCACCAACGCTTGGCATGAAACAAGGCATCACAATCCTGAGGATGACCAGGACGAAGCGGGCACTTATCACACCTGCGAAAGGATCAAGCAATCAAGAAACAACCTCTACTGGCCACAGCACCTCGGATGGCCGACGCAGGCACTGGAACCAAGGCCGTTGGTCGACGAAGGCAGGACCATCTCCTTGGACAAGCCATTCCTTATCCAGCACCCTCATCGGCCACAAGCCAGACCTTGGCCGGCAGCGGCACCGCAAAGGAGTAAATGCCTAACAGTTATACTTAGGAAATTATCTAAGTACTCAAACAAAGGAACTCTAGCCGAAGCGGGTATACTACAAAGCCGTTAGCTACCTACACCTCTGCAGGTGTACTTGGGAAAAATTCAAAGTCCACAAGACTATGGTGAAGGTGCCCTTATCGGCCACAACACAGGGATGCAGGCCGACAATGACACTGGTTCAACACTTAACAAATCACCCCAACCATTTGCCAATAATGGGGAGAGACTAAACCCCATGGACGTAGCGGACACCACGATCAAGGGCAAAAGGACGTAGCCAAGGACCACCGGTCAAGCCGACAAGGCCACCATGCCACAAGGAAGCAACTGTAAAAACCCAAAAACACTTAGATAATTTTTGAAAAAAATTCCTAAGTGTTATGATACTGCATCAACACCGGAGAGGCCGACAAGGCCACCAGGCCGAAAGGAAAGCACCTAAGTGGATCCCAAAATACTTAGAAAATTTTTGAAAAAATTCCTAAGTGTTATGAAACTACGTCCAGGCCGATCAAGCCACTAGGCCGTAAAGACAGCAGCTACATGGACCCAAAAAACACTTGGGAAATTTTTGAAAAAAATCCTAAGTGTTATGATAGTAAAGCAAAGATGAATAGGCCGACCAGACTACTGGACAGGAAGGCCGACCTCACGGACGTAGCGGACACTCGCGGGTGACCCAAGTTATGACTTGACACTCAGACAATTTACAGAATCGAAATGACAAAAGGCAAACAAGCATACAATGGATTCAAAGCCGAGAAGGATGGCAAAAATTCTTTCATTTAATCAATTCATTACGATGGGGGGCGCTTCGGCCATTACATCAGTTAGACAAAGAAATGAAAAGCAAATTACAAAGGAGCAGGGAGTAGCCGGTCAAGCCTCTGGGGCACCTTCATCCGCGGCTGGCTCTTCAACCTCATCAGCTCCCTCATCGGCCTCAGCTTCTTGGCCGGCAGCGGCTGCGGCGCTGGTGGCATCGTCTAAGAAATCAAATTCAGTATAATCCGGCTCGCCAAGGCCGAAGCTTTCTATGGGGGACTCTCGCTCCGACAGCGGAAGCTTGGCCTGCTCTTCTGGATCCTTCATCAGCTTCGGCAGCTTCAGGTTCCGTCTAGCCCACCCAGACGTGTAATTCATGGCCTTCAACGCCCGGGATAGCCGCCGACACAGGAGCCTTTGCATCCGCTCCTGGCCCAGGTTATAATACACAGACATCTCTCGGCTGAAATACTCCCGGCCGGCGGGGGAGTTCATCCCCTAACTCTCAAGCTTGGCGGCCACCACCTCGTAGCACCAGGGAAGCCTCTCATCGGCCTTCCACCCCTCGGCCAGGAACTTCTCAACGGCCTCGTCGGCAGCCCTCACAGCGGCGGCCTCGGCCTCAGCTTTCGCCTTAACGGCCTCCTCGCTCTTGCGCTTCTCGGCCTCAAGCGCCCTTTGGGACTCCTCGAGCTCCCTTTTGCTCTCCTCGAGCTTGGACAGGGCATCGTCCCTGGCCGCGGCGGCTTCATCAGCCTTTGCCTGCAACGCCTTGGCATCCTCCCGGAGCCGATCAAGGCAAGCTACCGCCTCGTCGGCCGAGGCAGCCTTCTGCTCCAGCCCTTTCAAGCGAGCTATCTCCCAATACTGCCTCTTATGGCTTTCCATAAGCATAAAGGCACTCTGCAGAAGGAAAACAAAGGTCAGGCAAAAGACTCTACAGACGAAGAGAGACAAAAACATAGGGACAGTAACTTACTTGGACGAAGAGGTCCATGCCGCCCTCGTAAATCTTCTCGTCCCCGAGCTTCTTCAAGTAAGCCCGATCTTTGGCCGGCATGGCCTGGGCCAGGACGACGTGGCCAGGGACGAGATCATTAAACACGCCCCCGCCGACGGGGTATTCTACCACCTTCTGGTAGGTGGCACCGACAATCTCCTTGCCGACCCTCTTCGTCTGTGGTTCCTGGACGAGAGGAAGCGCTGAGGCAGCATCGTCAGCAACAGTAAGGTCCACGACGGGACCACCATCGTCCACGATGGGGACAGTCAGAGTACCGGCCTCAGTAGCCGGAGAAGGGGAAGGAGCCCTCTTCATCTTCTTCGAGACGCTCACGCCGGCCTCAGTTAACTTTTTTTGGCCGTCAGTGGCCGGCCTTTTCTTCTTCGATGGAGCAGGCTTTGGGGCCGCATCAGCAGTAGCCCCGCTCCCACCGGCCGCGGCACGTCTGGCCGCTTCGGCCGCCTTAGCAGCAATCTCCTCGGCCGCTTTGGCCTTGGCAATAGCCATCATGGAACGACGGTCCATGACAAAATCTACAAAGGAAAAACACAAACAGATTAGTAAGGCAAAGGACAAAACATAAAGACAGAAAGCCGAAGAAAGAATTACCATCGGCCTCAGCAGGAATGCCCAAGTCCGGGCCGTCGGCCTCCTCAAAAGTGGTGGTCATCCTCGGCCAGAGTTGGAGGTCATCCTCCTTGTCACCATAGACATAGTACCTCACGAAGCCGAGGGCGGCCATCTTGTATTCAGTGATGTAATCCTTCACGCTCCTTGGCCCCCTTCCAAGAAAGCCTCCACCTGAGCGTCCAGAATAGAGCTCTTCGGCGGGTCGTGCAGGTTAAACCTCCCGGTATGGCCGAGGGAGGGAAACTCGGTGCCACTCTCACCAATGGACACAAACACGAACTTGCTCTTCCACCCATGAATGGACGTAGGCAAATCCGTGAAACTCCTCTTCTTCGGCAGCTGCTGAAGAGTAGCATAGGCCGCACAGTTCTTGTGACTTCCTCGGCCGATCTGGTACAAATTCATGAATAAGGCCGTTGTCGGCCTGTAGCCCAACTCCTCACACCGGAGCAAAAACCCCACCATCAGGGAGTAGCTGTTCGGCGTCAGCAGGGCCGGAGGAAGCCCTACCATGTCCAGGTACTCGGTAATGAAAGGGTGAAGGAGGAACCTCAACCCCTTAGCAAAACTCATCGGGTATACTCCAAAGTATCCCGGTGGCGGAAGAAGAACATGGTCCGTCGGCCTGGGTGCCTTAACCCGCCCGAACGGCCCCACGTACATCTGGGCAACGAGATAGTCGGCCGCACTGCTTTCCGGCTTGATCAGGAAGATGTTGGTGAGATCCAACTAGGAAGTGCCCGGCCCACTCTTCGGCCTCCTCACTCTCTTCGGCTTAGCTGCTCCCTTCACAGCAGACACCGGCCTCGGGCACGGAATGACAGCAGAAGTGGACGCCCCGTCCACCACTCGGGACGCACCTACGTCCTCACCCTTTGAAGAGGAGGCGGACTCCTCGTCCTCGCCTTCCTCGTCCACTGGCTCTCCGGATTTGTATGGACTTAAACGCTCTATCTCATCCTCAAACTCCTCGAGCACCTCGTAGTCAAGCGACCTCGTGGAGGGCTGGTCGTCATAGGGGTAGTAGTCGTCGTTCAAGCTCTTCATAACTACTACCACGGGCCTAAGGAGACTTAACTTAAGATCTAATGGTGTTCAAACGCCTAACACTAGATCACTAGTCTAGGAAGCAAAATATGAAAAGTGAGGAAGATCGTGATGAACACTAACCTTGAACAACGACGAACACGAAGAACAAGCTTGGGAGTTTATCTCTCTAGAAAAATGGGCAGCACTTCGACAATTCAGAATGCAAATGTGATTCCTCGTCGGAGGGGAAGGGGTATTTATAGACCCCTCCACCCAACGGTCACTACACGTGGCACTCTCCCAATGGCCACATCAACGGCCACCAACGGGAGGCCACCACGTCACCAACGGGCCAGGCCCAACCCACATCATCAGCCCACTGGCAAACCAGACTCCAACGGCCTACACACTTACCGGCTTTACAAGTACCAGCAAGCGCCCACAACGTCCCACTTGCTCGCCAAGATCACAACTGCCAGACAATAAGGAGACGGCAACGGCCAGGAACGTAACGGCCACAAGATCACAGGACCCAAGAGCCCACAGGCCATCGGCTCCTCGTCATGATCTTTGATGATAACTCTCTACAAGCGATCTGCGCACAAGGGTTCTCCCACAGGGTTACCTTGGCCAGAAAATCGCCATGAGAGTTGGATTCAGGGGGACTACGGGGAGGCCGCTTCGGCCAGGGATTCAATCAACTCCTTCACCCCTCACACTCCTCGGCCTGAAGCAGTGGGGGACTGGGGGACTACACCGGCCTCAACAAAACAAAAAGGAAACATCATCAAAGAACATGAATGTGACCACAAAGCATGGCCACATCATCCATATAGCACAACGGAACTTCATCGGCCAACAAGCCACTAGAGGCAAGGACACTCATCGTCCTCCGCCAACAATTAGTCTTGACGGGCCCTTCGGCCAAGAACACGAAGGCCAACCAGCAACGGCCAAAAGGAGTGCGCAAACACCCTCATCGGCCACCCAAAGGAAAGGACGCCATCGTCCTCAAAGCAAGGAATAACTTCAGTGGCCTCATCGGCCCAAACACAAACTTCAAACATTAGCGCCCAAGCAAGACGTGCCTTCAACGGCCACCATTGAAAGAAGGACACTCATCGTCCCAAAACAAACACATTAAGGAAACAACGGCCTCCCCGCCCACAACGAGGAACAGGTAACGGCCAAAGCACAGAACAGGATCACCAAAGAGGAAACAACGCCAACGCCGCAACGGCTAACGGCCCGGGGTGCCCGCATCGGCCAAGGGCAACAAAGCACAGGAATCTACTCTCCTTCGCTTCGTCTACGTCTCAGCTTAGAGAGTGGGGGACTCCTGATGGAGTATATGGGTCTGAGCCCCAGGACCCACATACTCGGAAGAACAGAAAGCACAAGACAACAGAGTGGCGCCCTCGTCAGCCAAGACGCCCCCGTCGGCCGAAAAGGAGCCAACTCGGATTATGGTCCTGAGTCCAAGGAACCCGGGTGCCCTCGTCGGCCGTGCCCTCGTCGGCCGACGCCCTCGTCGGCCGACGCCCTCGTCGGCCACGCCCTCGTCGGCCAAGAAGACCTCCCAGAATCGGATTTTACACTTACTCATTTGTACAGCCCATTAATGGCTTTGTATTCGGCCCAGTAGCGGTCCAGTTGTAAATGGGCCTCCCAAGCCCAAGGCTTGGGAGCCCAACCCTAATTTTCTCTATAAATACTCCCTTTGGGAGTAGTTATAGGGGTTACAAAATCAGTCTATTGAAGCATATTATTGCACTTCTCTCTCTAGCTCTCACTTCTCTCTAGATATACTCTATGAGTAAGCACAAAACCTTCTCCCTCTAGGGCTCTTTGTATTTTTTCACCAACTTTGATCTTTTGATTTCAAAGAATATTCTCACTGTGTTAATAGTATACTTCCTCCGGTTCTTATTTAAGTTCTTAGTTTGACTTCACACATATTAAGAAAATGAATTTGACTTTACTGTGGAGTGCACTGTTTGGCACTGTTTGGCACTGTTTGGACACTGTTTGGCACTGTTTTGCACTGTTTTATTTCCTAAAAAGGAAGTGTGAACTTAAATAAGGGTTATCCCAAAAAGGAAAGTGGGAACTTTAATAAGAACCGGAGGGAGTATGATGTATTTTATATGTAATTTACTTATATTTAATTGCTATTTTTTATATCATTGGGTTAAATAAAACATATTTAAAACAAAATTTCTACATGACCGTCTAGGGCCTCATAATTGCTCTAACCGGCCCTGTATATATATCTCTGAACTTTTAAAAGGTGCAACAATACCGCTCGTGTTCTTTTAGAAGCAAATTTACCCATATTGACTTTAAATAGATTTCAAAAACAACAAAAATAAATTATTTTTGCAATGTAAAAAATATATATTATTTTTTTTGCATTCTTTGCACTTTAATATCACATATTTTTGTATGATGATAAATAGTCCAATATTACAAAATAGTGAATTTAATTTTATTAAGGTTAAACAAAATCAAAACATGTTATTTTAAAAAAATTAACAATGTGTTCAAAATTTCGCAACTAGACTAAAATTAAAATTAATGAAATTGAAGTGCTTCATTTACACTGAAAAAATAATATTTTTTTGAAAGAGTATTTATCATATTTAAGAAAAACATTTAAAGTTACAATTTCAAACAATATATTAATATCACATTTAATGTAAGTAATTACGACTTTTATGTGGGTGACAAATAGCTTACTATTTGATTTTTAGCCATACTACCAATCTTTATCTTTATGTATTGTTGGGATATTGGGATCCGCTCGGGGATCCGACCCAAATATCCTTGAAGCCCAAAAGAAGACGGAGCCTAACCGGTGCCAAGCAAGAGGGGTAATTCCCGAACGGGTTGAATCTCATACTTGGGCAGAAGGAAACGACATCCATGACTATTGATTACATTAGCCCGAAGAACTTATTGAGAAGCTTTGGGAGTGGCTGGGGCGCATTCAATTCTGAAGTATGGGTAATCAAGTGGCAATCATGGGTGCTCAAGTGACAAGAAGATCGTCCACTCAAGGGTCGCCACGTCATCCATCTCACATACCTATTTCTAGTATAAATAGTACTCCCTCCGTCCCGAAATAATTGTCCTACTTTCTTTTTTGATCCGTCCCGAAATAATTGTCTTCTTTCCTTATTTGGTAAACAAATCTATACAAAACAGTGTCAAACAATGTCGCTACAGTGCCAAACATTGTTCTGAAGTCAACTTCACTTTCTTAATCTGTGTGAAAGTCAAACCAGGACGATTATTTCGGGACGGGGGCAGTAGCATTTATCCCATGTTTAACTTCCATTTTTGGGGGAGAACCTATGGGGGATAAGGGCGTAAGCACCGCCCAGGATTGGGTCACCACAACGGGAGATCAGGAGCAGCCATCCTCCATCTCCTTAGGCTCTTTCGTATTTCATCTCTCAATTCAACCGAAGGCAGACCACAACAACGCCATCTTAGCGGGATCTCCTGCTCAAGTGCGTCGGAATGGGCCAGACTCCGTGGCGGATCTGCTGATGAGAGAGGAAGGCCAGACTCCGTGGCGGACTGCATCCAGGCGACGACCAACCGTCCTGCGACGGCGAGGGCTCAGCATCGGCGACAAAATTCAACAGCAGCGATCCAGAGGCTTTAATCGAAAAGCTGGGTCCCGTTCTTGGTCCAAGCAAGTTCGACAGAAACCAAGTAATCAACCGGTTCATGGCTTTTCATCTGGTACATCGTTTCAGCGGCCAACAAATAGCCGGTTTCCTTCCTTTCGACAAAATGGCACAAGGCAGAGAACATCCAACAAGGTTGAAAATCAATGGGGAAATAGGTATCAATGTATTCCGTTTACAGGGTCATCAAATGGTTTTGAACTTATCATTGAAAGCAAATCATTTTATTTCAATTTTATTGATTAGAATACTATTCGTATATGTGAAACGAAATGCGATATTTCATCTAGTGTTGTGATAATGTTTGATACTAAAAGCATCATTTGGCTAAGGGACTCCATTTCTGCTCTTCTCCGTGATAATTGGTCTTGCACACAATTTGAGCTAAAGAATTCATATTCTATTTTCCATGATGTTAATACCTTTGGCTGTTTCTTCCGTATCATTGAGAGGGGCGGCAAATCTTTGTATATTCCTGAGGGAATGAATGGATTAAGGATTAAGCTCTTTCTGTCAGGGATTATGAAATCACTTATTTTGTTGAAAGAAGTCAAAGTCAAAGAGCCACCTCTACTACTTGATCATGGTCCAGCAAAAAATACTAATTTTGAGTTTGATCTTGTCGCCTTGGATAGAGATCTTCCTCCTTATGAGCTCTCAATTTCTGGCACCCTTTTCCAAATTCATGTCGAACAGTCTGACATTTGTGACCAAACTTTGGTGTTGAGTTCTGAGACTGACTCCTCATTATCTCATATTAAGGATTTCTTTCAAACCACAATGACACAAGGGGTGGACTCACTTTCTCAATTTTTAATCAAAGAGTTTGAAAGAATCATTGCAAATAAACACGGTGAGGATTAACACACTACTTATTGTACACCCACAGAAACTCTAAGGAATGCTTCTCCAAGTAACAGTCAAAAGGGACTTATGGAAATAAGGAAAGCTACTAGGTGTACAATGCCAGACAATCCAATGGAGGCTTATACAGGTTATCAGCAAGGTTTTGTTGTTGAGGAAGCATATAGTGATTCGTTCTTTCATCCGGAGATTGAATATCTTGGTCATGCTTCAGAAAACGAGAATAGGGTTCCATTTTCGGCGGTAGAAGACTTGTGGGACTCTGATGAAAACCGAGAAATTTGTCACAAAGCTTTGTTGATCACAAGAGAAAATTACATACCTACAAGTAATTTCAACACTAGTATTGGAATGTACAGGAGGAGTAAGCGGCAGTCACATCATATGAGGACAAGATCTCAAACTCGCGAGAAACCTTGATCTGAGGGGCTACTATTGAGGGGAGTTTATTGTGTTGTGGGTTGGGTTATTTTTTTCTCTTTATTTTCTTTATTTATTTTTTTTCGTTGCTTCGTATTTGTACTTTCTTTTTCATTAATAAAATTTCCTTTTCTTTAAAAATAAGTAGCATTTATCCCATTGTAAAGGGTTAGCATTAGGATACTTAGTAGCCACATACTTCACTCAGCTCTTGTATTAGCAACTGGTCCATACTTTCGTTCGGCCATTTATTTTGTAATTAGCATAACTATACTAATGCAACTGGGCTATTGAGTCATTACGTTAGTTGATTTCCTTTCCTAATTACCCTTCCATTCGAGAGCTTTTATTGACATTCAAAGGGTTGTGTTGGGTCTTTGGATCGAGACACATTAACCTCAACACTGGCGCCATATGTGAGAACCTTGAACTAAAATCCCAAACAACTTATGCTACTCAGCAGCACCCGAAAACTCGACAACATGGTCAGGATTTCATTTGAGCACGCTTATGACACCTCCGAGGGAGTGGAGAGCAGCAGGAGGACACACACCTAGACGGCTACTGGGCAAATCACCAACAGTGAATGGACGTAAAACGGTGGCGGGAATATCACTAATCTAATCCCTCGGGAAGCCAGGAGAGACCCCCGGATAATGAGGGAGTTAGCGGACACCATGCGCCGCCTGGTGGACGAACAGGAAGAGGAACCGACCATGTACACGGCGGAGACCGAGTGTACAACTCCTTCTCCAATTCACCGCATGAAATCGTTCACGGGGAGAACTAGCGAGGTAGTCTATCCACGCCTCAGTTCACACACGAATGGGCAGGGAAGGCCACAGAAGGGCAAATATAACCAAACACAGGCAGCACTCCGCCACAGATCAGACGCCATTCGTACCCAGGCATGGGGCACAGTTCAGAGAGGCAACTCTTGTGGTGTTTACACATAGTGTAAACAATATATCAGAACAGCATAACAAAATGGGAGAACTATCAAATAAGCCCTCAAACTTTCATAAAAAGTGCAAGTAAGCCCTTTTATAGGAGGCTCTGTCCGGCCGTCGCCATTTGGGGCGGTTTCCGGTAAAACATTTTGATGAAATTTTTTGAGCATCTTCTTCATTAAGTCTAGTTTACCCATACCAAATATCAGCTAAAAATTAAATCGAGAAGATAGTCAAATGATTTTCTGAAATATATTGCGCTGTCTAGCTGCGCAGTCATCTTCAAAATTTCATTTGACTGCCTTCCCGATTGAATTGATAGCTGAAATTTGGTATGAGTAAACTAGACTTAATTAAGAAGATGCTCAAAAAACTTCATCAAAAAAATCCACCGGAAACCGCCCCAAATGGCGACAGCCGAACAGAACCTCCTATAAAAGGGCTTATTTGCACTTTTTATGAAAGTTCGAGGGCTTATTTTGTAGTTCTCCCTAACAAAATTCTATAATTACAAGGAGAAAAGTAACTAGGGACTGGATCTATTGTTCAACATCCTCCTTTTAATCTTCTGATTCGGTCAGAGGTTCGGGCTCCCGACCGACAGCTTTATCGGCAGCTCTCTTCATATCTCGCCAGTATTTCTCGGGCTGGGCTAGGAGGATGTCGTTGTTTGAATATTCAGCCATCACAGTCGGTTTGCCCACTAGCCACTGTATGATTGGCATCATGGCCTGCAAAATGTGCTGACACCCAGTGACATAGGTCTCCCAAGGCATGGAGTTGACCCACAAATGGCATGTCGGTGACCGATTGGCCAGCTTCACCCCCTCTACATGACGAACGGGGCACCGGGAAAATTGTTCGAGGTTTTTACCGAACAACTTGGCCAAGTGCTCCAGAGCGTACTTTAAGCAGCCTTGGAGAAGTCGCCAGAAGAACGGTATACAGCATGGATGGCCGATAAATCCACGCTCACTTCCTGGGGGCCATCCGGGATCTGAGACACGCCTTCCTTAAAAACGATCTGGGTGTCCTCGGCAACTACCACCTTAGCCTGGGCTGCGGCAAGATCGACCTAACTCTTGTTTAAACATTTGTCTCTCCTGATCGGCCTGCTGAAGAACATCAGTCGTTGCCTGCTCTGCCGTGTTTCGAGCATCGAGTAGTTGCTGCTCTCTTGCCTGGAGGGCGCTCCGTAGTTGTAGCCCGTACAGCCCGACCTGCATGAAAATAGGTTAGGATTTTGCGATGCCAGAAAAAGGAGTAAGGAACGAACGACGAATCTCAGTACCTTCAAGGCTGCAAGGGAGACACCCTCTCCAGCCTCCTCAACGGACATAGACGGGAGGACAAAATCGTTGATAAAGGCGGAGGCGCCCCAAACTTGGCTCACAAACATTCACCATGTTCCATAACGGCATGAATAGGATCCGCGAGGGTGATCCGCTCGAGGGACTTGGAAATAGAAGCCTGGCCGATCTTGGTATTTGCCCCCATAGACGAATCCAGGTGCTAGGCAAAGATAGGAGCGGATTGTGTGGACTCGAACGGTGTGTCCACCGCCATGGGGTCATGTTGCATCTTCTCGACCAGTTGCGGTTCAACTGGGCCATGCTCTTGAACAGTTGGCTGGATTACTTCAGAATTTTGTGTCTGAGCATGCTGCTTGCCCTTTCTCTTCCTCTTTCCAGCACCACCGATCTGTTGTAGGAGACTAGTGTCCATACTGGCTAGCTTTGGGTTAGGAGCTGCAAAATTAGACAAAGGAAAAGTTAGTACCGAGCGGCCAAAACGTGTGTGAAACGTGCAAAATGCATGTAGGTTTCCCGCACGAGAAGGACCGCCCCGGCCATGGCACTTTGGTGTTAGTCAAGAACTCCAGGGGTTCGGGCGGTACCTATCCCGAATTGGATCAATTAATTGGGGGTAAGGTATTCCAGAATCATGGAGGCGTTGCCCCTCTCCAAAGCGATGATCTTTTCTTCGAGCTCCTCGGAGACAAACGGCTCCACAGTTTTGAGCGGATAGGCATTCCATCTTTTAGGGATTAAGCCATCCGGTACGGAAACGAAGAAGAATCGGTCTTTCCAACCCATGATTGAAGACAGATTCCCCTTGAATAGAATTCTGCCCGATCAGGCACTCACGGGCAGGTAACCATGGGTTTGTTGGAAGAGGTCTAGGTCGGGCGTCACATGCATTGACGCCAACACACCGACAGATGAACTCGACCATTACTCAGTAGGAGTTTGACATTATTTGGGCCGGAACCACCTCGTAGTAGTTGAAGAAATCGACAAAGAAGGGGTGCAACGAGAATCTCAGTCCGACTAGGACGAGGTCGTGATGCACCACCACCATCCCCGGACGGTGGCACAACGGATGGAGCGCAGCGTGGAGGCAGAAATCGACCGAGTTTGAGATATGGTTTGGAATATTGGCCCTAATTCTCGGGGAGAGTTTTTGTCTCCTTTTCCTAATGGATTTCAACTTCAGTTCATGGCGGGGGGAAATCGTCCCGGGGGCCAGCCCTAGCGACCGTGATGTCATCACCCGACTTAGCATCATCAGAACCATCATCGAAATGGTTGTCATCCGCCACAACCTCCGCAGCGGTGCTTGTGCCCATTGTACTATCAACGGCGGTGCTAGTAACATCTCCTCAAACCGTCTCGTGGATGGTGGAGTCTGAATCGGAGGAACCAGAAGAGCTAGAAGAGGAACCCTCATACTCCCTCCGTTTCTGAAACAAGTTCCACCTTTCCTTTTCGGGCAGATTCAAAATTAAGTTCCACTTTCAAACATTTCCTTATTTGGCAAATTATCTATATCAAAACAGTGCCAAACAGTGTCAAACAGTGTTCAAAAAGTGTCAAACAGTGTTCAAACAGTGCCAAACAGTGCACTCCACAGTAAAGTCAAATTTATTTTCTTAATATGTGTGAAGTCAAATGTGGAACTTGTTTCAGAAACGGAGAGAGTACATTTTACCGAACGAAAAATCGAATTCAGAAGAAAAAGAAAGGCCCAAAATTACCTGAACAACTTGGAATTAGGGTTTTTTGTAGAGAGAAGACAGAGCAAGCTAGAGAGAGAAGCAAAGTTCGGAAACCCAGAACCAATAACCCACGGGCCACGGGTCTTACTTATAGGCTTAATGTGAACCGGCCCGGCTGGTCTGGGACCGGTCTGGGCCGATTTTTTTTTTGATTTTTTCTCATTTATTGGCTACTAGGAGGGTGGGGTTAGGTGATTTGGGGGGGGGTTGGGGGTGGGGGTAGGAATAAATTCGAAAAAACAAATTTAAAAAAAACACTTAGACCTGACCCGACCCAAAACCCGAGGCGGTACCGGGCCTTCATACCAAAACCCAGTCCCACCTTGACCCGACCCGGAACCCGCCCCGACCCGGAACCGTCCATGCCTTATTGGTATGTTTGGTCGAGAGCTCAGAGATGGTAAAGCTTTCCGTAATATACGTGACGGTAAGCTTGGCGAAGTTTTACGCAGTGGTCCGTAATATAATAATCTTATAATAACATATGAATGAGACAAACTAATTTGACTTTACTGACATTCTCGCTGAAAAAAATGTCAAATATTTGGTGGGCATGATTGTGTTTGACTTTAGTGCGCATTAAAGAAACAAAACCAAATGAAATGAAATTGGGTAACTGAAAGTCAGCAAATGTTGTTTGCCGACGCGCGATGTGGAAGTTTGAAACGGATCCGTAATTTGAGACATGCGAACACATATACGACTAGCTGATCAAAGGAGTAATTCGTTTTTATACATAGGCAAATGTATACCACCACGTAATTTTGTGCAACTATATATATATATATATATATATATATATATATATATATATATATATATATATATATATATATATATATATATTATTTGTGTAGAGAAGCAAATGCCCCAAATATATACGTACATCAATCTTTTGTTGACATATATCATATATGAAAGGAGTACTTCATTTAGTTAATAATACTCCCTCATTTTTTTATTCATGTTAGTTAGGAATACAACCTCACTTTTTTTTTTTTTTTTGTACAAACTACTCTCTTTTTTTCGTTGGTTTCCTCTTCTTAAAATACTTCTTCCTACTTGTATTAATTACGTATGAGTGTAGAAATAAAATAAATAAATGAGAAATTCAACATCGACAGCGCGCTTAGTTTAATACTTTAATAAGTAAAACGACAACTAACATATATACCTGCAAAAGTAGTAGAGGATAGGAGGTAATGCCCTGAGAATAATCCACCGCCGGGATGAGTTGCCGGAGCTCCAATGTGGGAGCGAAGTCACCGTAATCGTCGACAAAGCCGTCAGATTGTGCCTCCACCAGCAGAACGCCGGCGGCGTTGCAGTTGATCTCGATGCGGCCGTCTTCGTCCCTCTTCAGGCGGCCGGCCATAGGGTAGAACGGCACCAGGGCTCGGCTGAGTGCATCCTTGAGGACCTCGGAGTCGAAGAAGTTGGGCGCCGAGCCGATCGGCCGCCGGTAAAAGTACACGCTCGGCGTGTGGAAGTTGGGGACCACCAGGTCGACGTTGGAGTTCCACAGAGTCCGGCGTGGAGTCTCCTCCGCCGGCCTCACCATACTCGACTGCTTCACGTCTATCTTCATTTAATTAGTTAATTAATTAATTTTCCGATCTTGCTTGAACCCAAAATTAGGCTGGGAAATCTATACATATATACAGACAGCAATGGCTTGGCCGGGCCGGGAATTCACCTACCAAAAATATACACCAGGACCGGGTCGGGTGACGCTGACCACTACCAAAAAGTCCTGCTTCATTTTTTTTAAAGTTTACCTGCACAAAGACGTACGTTAATATGTCATTAGTCCCAAAACATATCATTGCAGTCACCCGCTCCGGTGAAAAATGAGGTATCGTAGCTACCACTCACTTGATTGTTTCAAATCATTACATCATTTTTAATTTAGATTTAAATAATTCAACTACATTATTCTGATTGGTGCATGCGGACAAATGTATAGTACCTTAAGGATACCATATAATCTACCTTTTATTAATCAATTCAACACATAAAAATATCCCAACAACCATGCACCATAAGTCTTATTATAAATGTACCATTAATTTTGATGATCAATTCTCATATTTGCTTCAACAATGAGCAGTGCATAGTACAACGGATTTAAAATCTGGCCGGCCTACCCTTTGAGTATGGTAGTAGTGTTCACAAAGTTCATCACCAACCGTCTATTAGTTTAACCACCGCCGCGGACTTCCCTTTTCTCAACATCAAGAAAATCAATGATTTTTGAACAAATTTCACCAGAAATGGTTGTGATGTCATACCCACCCCAAAACTTCTTACAAAATAATATAGAGGAACCATTTATTTAAGGAAATATTGTCCCAAATAGGACTAAATTGTTTCTGAAATTCTTAAATAGGATCATGCATATTTTTATTCCTGAAATAGGATTAAATTACCCTCCTACCCTTATTTTCTTCCCTATATTTTATCCTGCCTGCGCACACATCGATCTCACCCCCCAGCGCATCACTCTTCTTCTCTTTCCCCAACAATGAACCTACAAGCTCACTCATAGGCATCGCTGCCACAGTTGTGAAGGTCATCACGGCTGCTGCCTCCGTCATGAAGGCCACAACCGCTGCTGCCGCCGTCGCGAAGGCCACCGCCGCTGCTGTCGTCGGAGATAAACTTTTCTTCTCCGTAGATCTGCTTCTCTTCTCTGATTTTTTTTCTTTGATTACAAAATGTCAAGTTAAATCTGAAAATGCCATCAAAATGGCATTTTTAGTCTTAAAAATTTTTGTATTTTTATTTGTAAAAGCCTTTAAGATGGCATTCTGATAAAAATTTTAGCATTTACGCCGGAAACGGGTAGATCTGCAACTGTGGAGGTCAGCTTTGTAACGGCCGATGCCGGAGTAGTTGCGAAGGTGGCTGGATCTGAAGGGACAGCGGCCGACGACCGGCGGAGGCTAAATCTGGCCAGATCTCTGGCGGTGGCCGCCAGATCTGCAATGGAGGCTGGCAGATCTACAACGACGACCAATTTTTGAGGTTTTCGACGATGTCCAGCGACCGGAGGCTGCTGGCGACGACCGACGGTGAATGGCGGTGACCGACGAATGGCTGTGGTCCAGTGTTGTGGTCTGCGGGAGTATGACTTCCAAGCTTGGATGGGGTTAATTTTGTCTAATTGAAAATAATAACTCTTATTTTGGGAATTTGTAAACTTTGATCCTGTTTTGTCAATTAAAAACCGATTTAGTCCTATTTAGTAAATACCTCTTTATTTAATCAAAGGGAAATTGATAAAAGATCAGAAATGGAAGGTAAAGTACTTAAGAAAATAAAAGCTAAATAAAAGAGAACAAACATAACCAACCAACCCGAATTGCAACAAGAAATCCTAAGAGCTCAACTGAAATGGAATATTCATTTAGATCGTTATACACACACAGCTTTTGGTTCAAATACAAATATGATCTTAGGAGAGAAATGAGAATGAATCTGGACCGTTAGATTTGCTTTAAGTGAAATTCAATGTGCATTAAATGAAACTCTAATGTGTATTAGGTGAAATTGAAATGTGCAGCACAACAGGTACGATACAATGACATTATGTGAAGCTGAATTGTGCATTAGCTGAAATTAAAATGTGCACTATGTGAAACTGAAATGTGCAGAATAAAAGGTACAATGTGATGTTATTTTGTACCTTTTATTCCGCACATTTCAGTTTTACTTAATGCACACTTGAGTTTAAATTTTTATTCTGCGCATTTCAATATCATCTGATGCACATTTCAGTTTTAGCAAATGCACAATTCAGCTCCACATAATACAATCCAACGGTCTAGATTCATTCTCATTTCTCTCTTGGGAGTCCGTCCTTACTGGAACCGCTCCACACACACATGTGTGTGTGAGTGTGGGTGATTTCAAGTAAAAAGTAGTCTTCCCATGAAAAGTCAAAACAAATTTTGGCATTTATTCACTTGCAAATGGATGAATTAGGTCAACTTTAATCAGTGGCACATCTAGAAAATATTGTTATTGGGGGCACAACACCTCCATTTACGGGGATGGAACCAGGGAACTGCGCCGGATTGGACCGATACAAAGAATATTTTTGAGAAACATATTAAATGGATTTTTTTCCACTAAAAATATAGACATTTTTAAATTTTGGGTTAGGCCAGGGCTGACCTCCTCTAGCTACGCCCCTGTCCATCTATGTTGTGTATTACAAACATTTAAATATGCATCGAATTTAAAAAGTGAAATACTTCAATATATATCATAGCAAAATGTTTAAAATTAGGTACCTGAGAGTGAAAGTAGACTTGTTAAAAAGATTGAATTTTAAAAATTTTCAAAATCTCACATTTCCAAAACATGACAATAATTCTTCCTATTTAGAGTCTAAAAAATGATAGTTCTATTTTTAAATATACAAATGTTATTGGTCCTATTTAGGACAATTTCCATATGAAAAATTTGTCTATATGTGACTAAAGTTTTTCACAAATTTCTAATATATGAAATAATACCAAAACACTTATTACCAAAATTGCATAATAATATCATAAACATCACCATATATATTCTAGTGACACTCCTATTAATTTTCTTTTGCATTATCTTTCATCACCTTTAATAAGAATGGAAGAATAATTTTATTAGATTTGTTGAAGACTATTTTATTGTGTATCAAGTTTGTCATACGTCTTGTAATATCCCGGTCTTTACTATGCCTTTAATGTATTTATACTTTGTATTTATTAGGGTTGTAAAGTATATGGGGCCAAAGTGTCAGACCCATATATCTCGCATAAAGGCTTTACGCAAACCTGCACGCACATATAAATATGTGCATGCATAAGGCTTAGGTTTGCGTTAACTTTTGCATTCGACCTTTAAGCTTTAACGCTCACATCATTCTGTAAAGGTTTACGGTATATCAAAGAAGGATTTCAACGATCTTCATCTTATTTATCATTCTGTGATTCTCATCTTTGATGTATCAATATATTGTTGTTAGATTAGGTTAATCTCTAAACAGGGACCAACAAATGGTATCAGAGTCGATCGAGAACTAATCAGACGAACAAACTGCGAAAGACTCTGCTATTGTTTCGTTTATCTGTATTTTTCGAGTTTAACATATGTAATCTTGTTTTTGGTCGAAAAGTTATAAAAAATATACTGTTAGAATCGCATTCTCGAAACGATCAAGCATTATATCTTATTTTTGTTTTTCCGCAAGATTTCACACTAGTACAAAAAAGGGCTTTTACATCACTTTATCTACATGTGTTATATCAAAACCCATGTAGAATAGTGACACGGGGTCATTTTTATAATTTTGATAAACTTTTTAACATCAATTGTTGGTATAACCGATGTTAAATAGTGAAACGAGGTATATTTTAAAATTTTTAAAAATACTTTTAACATCGGGTGTCCCTACAACCGATCTTGAAAAAAATGGGGTAAATTTTTGGATTAGTGAAAGTTTTGTCAACATCGGTTTTACTTTACCCGATGTACAAAAACTTAAAAAAGCGCCTTTATTCTAGATCGGGTATAACCCATCTGCGTATCTGCCACTTCCCGTTTCAAACCTAGCGAACAAACACAACAGCGACCACAGACAACCCTGCGGCACTCTGGGCCTGAATTCGGATCAGCGACCTGAGACAAACCTGACGGCATACTCTTGGCCGACCTGTTGGACCAGCGATCAGAGACGGGGTCGGCGGAATACTAATGGCTTGAAGTTGGACCATTGACTACCCCGACTGAAGCCGACTGTGGCGCACAGTTATCGCGGCTCCGGTGTCGATAGCAGGTTCTGAGCGAGCATAGAACGACGTTCGACTGCACACAGGACAACATTCGAGCGAGGAATAGGACAACATCGAGTACAGGTCCGGATTTCTATGTTTTATTTAGCCATTTTTGGTTTTAGTTTTGCTTTGAGTAAAATTTCTTTCAGTTTTCTTTCACCTAAATTGAATTTTTGCTTTCAATAGTATTGTTCTTAGTCAAATTTAAGTGTTGCTTGTCCTTGGCTGAATCCAATTCTTGACATTAATATATACGAATACGCAATGTGAAGCATGGAAGATATTTGTTGGCGATAAGGTTTGATTGTAATAGGGTTTTAGTTTGATTTTAATCAGTATTTGAAGGCTTACTACTGTTTTTGTAATCAATTGTAAAGGGGCCGCGCACTGCAATTTGAAGGGGAATTAAAGCGCTAGGTGTTCATAATCCCACCGTCTACTGATACATTTTCCTGATTACCCTCCGGAGTAATTCCTTGAACTGTACTTGGGCCGTTTCTGAACCTGAAAATGGAGAAAATCAGGAGAGCATCACATGCTGGTTCATGGTACACTGATAATCCCCAGAAACTGGAAAAAGAGCTTGATGAGTGGTTGAGAGAATCTGGACTGACCAAGTCGTCTGATGTACACGGTGTGATTGCCCCCCATGATGGCTATTCATATTCAGGTCGTGCAGCGGCTTTTGCTTTTGGAAACATAGACCCAACAAACATTTCTCGGGTCTTCCTGCTTGGCCCATCACACCACTATTACATTGCAAAATGTGCACTTTCGAAAGCCACAGTTTACAACACTCCCATAGGAGATTTACCTAATGATATGGCAGTCATTGAGGAGCTGAAAGCTTCATGGAAGTTTGAAATGATGGACCTGAATGTTGATGAGGCTGATCATAACATGGAAATGCACCTGCCATACCTTGCTAATGTATTTCATGGGTATGCAGTGAAAGTAGTTCCTATTTTGGTTGGTTCTAGCTCTTAGTCCAATGCATGAAGCCATGTATGGAAAATTTCTGGCAAAATATGCAGATGATCCAACAAATATCTTTACAGTGTCATCAGATTTTTGTCACTGGGGTTCACGGTTTCGTTACACATACTATGACAAAACACACGGAGAAATTCACAAGTCAATTGAAGAGTTGGATAAAAGGGGCATGGATATAATTGAAACAGGAGATCCAGATGCATTTCAAGAGTACTTGTCGAAGATTGGAAACACCATATGTGGACGCCATCCAATTAGTGTTTTCCTTCATATGGCAAAGAATTGCTCGACAAAGATGAAGATCAAGACATCAAGTTCCTTCTGTATGAGCGATCAAGCCAGTGCAAGAGCATAAGAGACAGCAGTGTGAGCTATGCATCAGCAGCAGCAACCAAGGTTGATGTTTGAACTTGGAAGAACATTATGTGCATTTTCACCGGGGCTGAGCAGTGTGACCTATCTTGTTAAACTCTGTTGAATAGGGGTTGTTGGACTAAGCAACTAATGATTGGTTTAATACTGATGGGCTTCTTACCCTCTTTAGTTTCAAAAAAAGTAATCAATTGTAAAGATTGATTTGGTAGCTCGATATATAAAAATTTTATCCAAAAATTGCTACCTTTTGTTAATTTTGAGTTCTGTTTTTTGCTAACTTGAGTGATTTTTCAAATATTTTGAAATTTGATTTATCTATTTTATTTAAGTTTTGTTGCAGGTTCTACTACTTTTTAGGTCCATGCATTGAAAGTTTAATATGTATTCTTTATAAGACTACAAATGAAATATTATAGTCCTCAATCACTTCTTTTAATAATGAAAGTTGATTGTGCAAAAATGATGCTTGTGTTTTATTCTAATTCTGGCCCCTCTTTGTAATGCAGACTGCACAATGTGCAAATGATCTCATTTGGCATAAACTCCCACCAGTGATATTGTGATCAGATGCTTACTTGAATACCATTATTTTCAGGAAAATGGTTGTGCTTCAGTTAGACCTATGACATATTTGCTTGGAACTTCTCATCTTGAAACTGTTACAAAGGTAAGCCCCCTCTTTAATTTTCATTTCAGAACCATCTTATTTTAATTTATTGTTAATTCTTCTTCTTACCGTTATTTTATGGGATGTTTTTCAAAAGGGGTATGTCTTGCTTTCTTTTTTATTTTTGTTGTTTTTACCGTTTGTTTAGTTTGATGCCTTAAATGAATGTTTGTGGAGTCTAAACTTGATTTTTTTCATCTTTAATGCTTGATTAATTTTTTCATCTCTAACACTTTATTGTTATATATGAAATTATTTGCAGTTTTTCTATTTTCCTCAGTTGCTCAATTTCCAGTTCAGCTGCTTGTTTTGCATGTAGTTGTTTCTCAAGTGTAATTATTTTTCTATGAAGCTCTTCTTTTTGCCTCTTCTGTTCTTCAACTAATTTCATCATTTTTCATCTTCCCTCCTTTGCTCTTCAGTGGCAACAGAAATTGAACTGTTTAGGGGAGCATTCTGTTCACGCTCTTTGGTACAACGCACCTTAGTAAGTAATTTTAGTAACTTTAATGTGTGTCAGGTAGTTTTTCTCTTTTATTTTTATTCCGTTTTCCTTTTTATGGGAAGACCGGCGAATTCATTCTGTTATCCTTTTTTATAACTATAAAGGCCATGTTTGTTTTTTGGCGGATTCGTTCCTAAATGCTGCAAAATGCAGCGTTTTCTTTTGGGAAAAACGACAGATTGGACCTAAGCCGCTATAACCCAAACGCACTCAAAGTATGACATGGAGTATAATGATTACACTAGAACCATTTCTGGACACTACTATTTTCAACAGAGTACTGTTTGAGCCATTTATTTCCTTGGTTGAAAGAGCAGGCTGAAGATTTAGGAGCTAGGCTTTGCTCCTAGTGATGAGGTGCTCATATGACTTATCTTTGTTAGGATATCGTTTTGACTTTTCTAACCATACCTATTCAATTCGTCTGATTCATGTCTGAATTTGCTACATGTTTACTCATTCATCAGCGTAAAATGCAGGTCATGTTACTTTTCTTGTAGAGAATTGTTGGGGATCTTTATTAGAGGTATGTGTTTATTGTTGAGTCTTCACTGTTAGGTATAGTGTGCATGATTACTATCAATAAATTATCTAGTCCATGTACTGTTTTTTAATAACCTTCTTATTTAATTTGTAGCGATTTCCCAATCTGGAACCATTCTCATCAGAAGAGATTGATGAAGTACGAACTCGTTGGGCATCATATTTCTTAGAAATGACGCAATCCATCAACGACACATGATGAACGTGTTTGTTCAAGTTTTTGAGTGATGATGAGACTTGTAACTTTATACAATGTGTTATTACTCTAGACTTGTGCAAAGATTGTTTTATTTTAGCTTATTATTATGTACTAAGTTGTTACTTGAACTTGTTGAATATTTGTGGAAGAATTGAAAAATAGCTTGTATTATTGTTTTAGATGGATCAAGTGAATAGGTGAAAAATTGTGTTATAGTAGTTGATAATACTATTAATGATGTGATTATAGTATAAACGAGGGTCATATTGCAATTTTTTTCCTGAAAAATACCGAAAAAATTGAAGCTTTTCACATCGGTTGATAAAACGACCGATGTGAAATCTTTTCTACATGGGTTATAACTGATGTGAAAAACCTATGCTCCAGGAAAAATTGAAGCTTTTCTACATCAGTTGTAAAATAACCGATGTGATTGCTTTTCTACATGGGTTCAGTGCACGCACTGAACGACCGATGTTGAAAGAATTTCCACATCGGTTCATTGACCGATGTGAAAAGTCAATACTTTTCACATGGGCTGGAACCACATCGGCTGTTTGACCGATGTGAAAAGCCTTTTTGACTGATGTGAAAAGCCTTTTTTTGTACTAGTGTCAGTTCAAAAGATCTCGATACCAACATCTCGAGATTATTGCTTCTTCGAGCTCTACTCAGTATTTTGATCTGAAACTTTGGCAGAAGGATCTCAACATCAAGGGCTCCTCAGAACAATTCTTGTTTTTGAAAAACTCAAAATTTTCTATTTGTAGGTTCTTGAAATTCAGGATCTCGAACTTGAAATCTCGAGATTAGGATCTTGATATTAGGATTTCGAAATCAAGATTTCGATATTTGAAAACTCGAAACTCAATTCTTGAAGTTTCAAATCTTGATATTTCAAATCTCTAAGTTCAAATCTCGAAGTTCAAATCTCGAAGTTCAAATCTTGATATTTGAAAACTCGATATTCAAATCTCGATATTTGAAAACTCGATATTCAAATCTCGATATTCTCAATCTCGACATCTCTATATCGAAATCTAAGATCTCGAGATTAGGATTTCGACATTCAGGATCTCGACTTTCTGCCTTAGAAACTTTCTCAGATCAAAATCTCGAACGGTCAGTTTTAAAACAGCAATGAACTCAGTTGCACAAGGAACCAGCAGCAACCCCGAGTACTCAGAAATGGAGAATACCAAATGTGGAAGACTCGATTTCTCAACTTTCTTGAAAATCGAGACAACTCTTCTGCATTGTTGGAAACACTCACACAGGGACCTGCAGAGCTGTGGATCACAATTCCCGGGAATGAAAACAATAATCCCCCGATAGAACCAGTCAGACGGATAAAAACACCAACAAAATACACAACTGAAGACAGGGCGAGATTGAAGGCTGATCTCACTGTCAAAACTTATCTGATGCAGGCCATCCCTAATGACATCTATATTATGATAGATAGTATGCAGACAGCAAAAGAGATGTGGGATGAGGTTGCTACACTGCTCCAAGGAACCACAATTGGGCTGAAAACCAAGAAAGCTAGTACTCTGACGGCCTATGACTGCTTCAAAGCCTTACCTAGCGAATCTCTCATTCTAACCCACAAAAGGTTCATGACACTGATCAATGATCTTAGAAAAATCGACATACTCAAATCCAACATGGAAATGAATATCAGATTCATGTCAAGTCTGAACCGTGAGTGGAGAAACATTGTGAAGAATGTGAGGCAAAATCTGGACCTAGATGAAGTGGACCTCTGCACCTTACGTGACCATCTGAGAACGTTTGAAAATGATGCTGCTGAATTGGATGGATAGTACACAACTGATCCGTTAGCACTTGTAATGGAAGCTCAACCAAAGAGATCCACGAAGGTCCCGAAGAAGAAAAAGAAGGTTGTTATTGAGCATGAACTGGCAGAGTTGCAGAAGAAAATGGCACTCCTGACCAATAAATTTGGGAGGAAGAACATCTCCTCAAATAAACTGAGAACCTCCTCTTCAAACTACAAATAGAGAACCCATGATCAAGGCAGTTCTGGAAAAGCAGCTGCAGCTGACGAATCTCCCAAGTGCTATAACTGTGGGAAGCCTAGACATCTTCAGAAAGACTGTCGCCTACCCAAGAAAAGGGACGTCAATTTCTACAAACAGAAGATGTTAATGGCTCAACAAGAAGAAGAGAATGCAGCTTTGCTTGCAGAAAAAGATCATTGGGCAGAGGACTCATCTGATGAAGAAGAAGAGGAGAACTACGGGCTGATGGCGTTGTTAGAAGATGAAGAAGAAAACGGTGATGCTGCGATCCCCAAAAGTGAAAGCTCTAACAGCACTGTAAGTACTTCTGATTCTCAATGTTCTTGCTCAAATCAAGGTCAATCCTTACAAGATAAGGATGACACAATTAAAGACCTAAGGGGGAAGTTAGACAATAACTACAAAGCCTTAGTTATTTGTCTTGACCAGAAAACCTCCTTAAGCATACAACTGGAAAATGAAAAGGAAGTTGCTAAAAAGATGACATTTGAAATTGATGAGATAACACTCAAGATTGCTGATCTTATAGATAAAGTGTTTCAAACCGAGACAGAGCTAAATACAGAAAAGGCTGACAAGAACTATCTAAATGATCAAAGAAATACTCTTTTCAGTAAAACCAAGGAACTTGAGGATCTGATTGCTAAGAGAGGACAACCAGAGCAAACTATTTTTCTAAATCAAATTAGTGATGACCGGTATTACAATCCCAGAGCCGGACTTGGCATTTCAAATCCATGTAATTTAAACAAAGTTGATTGCATTCAGCTTTATGACTTGAATTACATGAGAAAAGAATACTTTCAGAAAATGAATTATACCTGTAATACCCCGAAAATTTGAGAGAATTTGGGAAATAATTAAAATTGTGTTTCGTATCGTTTAGACGGTCTTTAGCTAGTTTACTGTGATTGGTTTATTATTTGGGACCAAGGGGAGGTTCAAACGGGGAAGAAACGGGGCAAAAACTAAGGTTTGGAGCGCCTGGGGGTCATCCACGGCATGCGTGGGGTCACGCACGGCGTGCGTGGCAAGAAACTCAAGCGGAATAGCTACTGCAAGCGACGCACGGCATGCGTGGAAGGTACGCACGCGTGCGTCTCTGTTTTATCCTAATGCGACTCAAACTTCGGAAATTCACTATAAATACATCCCTAATCCGATTTTCCTCATTCCAAAAACCCTAGAACCGCCTCTTCAAGATCTATCTCTTCCAGCTATTCAATATTAAAATATCCAGCATGAATGTTTATGCCAAGGACGAGATCAACCAATCCAATCTTCCGGTAGGTGTGTTTGTTGCCTAATTCGCGTCGTTCATCCGTTTTCTAAATTCCTTTCTCTTAAATTGTGTTCCTTCGACCCTATCACTTCCTAGGGAATTGTGAGTGACTCAACAAGCTAGGTTTGACGTTTAGGATTCGTTGCTAGCCTCGAGGTAAGGACTATTGCAACCAAAACTACTATTTTGCCCCTATTATGTATTAATTAGGGTTCATGCTATGATTTGAGTTTCTTTCTGAAATTTTATGGATATTTGGGTTATTATAGTATAGATATGATGATGTATGATTTTATGGGAATTTATGAACGTGTGATTTTTGGTGAATTTATCAAATCAATTTGCTATGGCTAAAATTGTGATTTTTGAGGATTGTTCTTTTGGGATTGGAAACTTTTGTAGATTGTTTTGGTATGAGTTGAAGTATTATTTGAGACTATTATAATTGGTTATATTGAAAATATATTATGGGTTTAGAATACCTCAATTGGATTATTTTGGTGGTGGTAGTAAATGCTACTTTTGGGAAGTGGTGGTTTGGGTTAAACCATCTTTTTGGAAAGCATTGTGAGAACAAATCTTTTGGGACAAATTATATATTTTTAAATTTATAATTTGGTATGAAAATTTACATATATATTTTGGAGTTATAAATATTCTTATTGGATTATTTTGAATATGGTATTAAATACTATTTTGGAACTAGTTTTGGATAAACCCCAATTTGTGAACTTTGACTTTGAATTGGAGATGTTTGACATATGATTTTGAGACATGAATCTGAAAGAAATATTATGAGAAAGTATTTTGAAGTTAAGTGATATGTGAGTAACATATGAACTAGATGTTCATAATGATATTTGTGTAACCTATGAACTACATGTTCATAATGACAAGTGGAGTAATATATGAACTATATTAGTGGTGGTGGTTATAGATGCTATTTTTGGAAAGTGTGGTAACAAATATTTTGCCAAATTGTAATCAATGATTTATGAATATTTTGAGCACCCGGGAGTAATCTGTGGTGTCGGCTTTCCACATCCGGATAAATGTGGAGGGTGGTTAGAGCTATATACCACGGGTTTAGTTTAGGTTGATTATTGGTGGCGGGAGAAATCCCGGTAAATATTGGTGGTGGAAGATTCTCGGTATTTCTTTTGAGAACTTTAAAAGTTCTTTGGTGGCCACGGCCCACGGTAGTAGTTTCTAATCACCCGGATTTCAAACCCATTGTGAGGTAGGGGGACGTTGTCCGAACTAATTGGACTTCTTACTACTCGGAGGGCTTGGAATCCCTTTTAGGGGGTGTGCACACTTAACGGTGAAGTTCAGTTTCCAATTGGTGATCGGTGGGAGCCGGAATTTCGGGATGAGTCGTATACAACAACGATTCATTGGACTCGAGGAATCTTGAGTTTCGCCCAATTTAAAAGAATCTAAGAGTGACATTGATTTTGAAATGGTGTTATTTTTAGCTACAAAAGATATTTTTGAAGAGTGATACTTTTATTTGAGATCTTAATTGTTTGGAGCATATACGTATTATTTTTAACTATACGGGTATTTGAGATTATGAAGTTGATAAATGATGTTTTTTTAATTGAAAAGAATTTCGGTGGTGTGAGTATTTTAATATGGTATTATATGAAAAACTATTTTCGCCAAATCTGATTCTTTTACGGGGTTAGGTAGTACTTACTTAGCTCTAAAGCTAGTTTTTGTTTCCTTTTCTTTGTTTTGTTTTCTGCACTTTATTTGTGCAGGTAATGATGAATATGAAGCTAATGATGTTTGACGAGCATTGAGAGCGCTTTAGAAGATTTAAGTGTAGCCTTCATTTAGTTTAAATAATGTTACTAAATTTTGAATTTAAGTTT